TCTGGGTGTCCTCCTGGATTCTCGGCTGTCCATGGATGACCATCTGACAGCCGTAACCAGGGGGGCCTTCGCACAAGTATGTCTTGTGCACCAGCTGCACCCTTTCCTAGACCAAGGTGCCCTCGCCACGGTCACCCACGCCCTTGTTACTTCTCGGTTGGATTACTGCAACGCCCTCTACATGGGGCTGCCCTTGGGATGCATCTGGAGGCTCCAGCTGGTCCAGAATGCGGCCACCTGGGTAGTTACGAGAGTTCCTCATTACTCCCGTGCAACACCTCTCCTGCGCGAGCTGCACTGGCTGCTGGTTGCTCTCCGGGTCTGTTTCAAGGTGCTGGTGCTTACCTATAAAGCCCTACATGGCTTAGGCCCAGGGTACTTGCAGGACCATCTTCTGCCTTCCTCCCACCGTCCCATATGCTCCCACAGAGCAGGCCTCCTCAGGGTGCCGTCGGCCAAACAATGTCGACTGGTGGCCCCCAGGGGGAGAGCATTCTCTGTCGGAGCACCAACCCTCTGGAATGATTTGCCCACCGAGTTCAGGATAGCCCTGGACCTCCTCTCCTTTCGCCGCGAACTGAAGACGTGGCTCTTCCGTCAAATAACTTGATCTGTTAGGGGTTGCACAAACTGTAATAATTTTAAATATGGTTTTTAAGGGTTTTTTAACTTGTTTTATTATTTTGTGATTTGTATTATTGATTGTTGTTGTAAGCTGCCCTGAGTCCTTCGGGAGAATGGCGGCATATAAATTGCAAAAATAAATAAATAAATACATACATACATAGTATCACCATCTTTCAACCTCTAATCTTTGTGTCTAGCTATTACTTTTAATATATTATATAAAAATATGCATAATAACATTCCCCCTATTTCTTGTATGCCTCTATATTAGCTCCTAGCAAAGGCAATCTTGTGTTACAAAACATTTCCTCTATCCATCATCTCTTGCCTGTTTTAATATTTCAATTCTTATTCGTTTTTTGACTTGCCTCCCAAATTCCTCACTTGGGTCTTCATCTCTATCTACCTCTTTCCTGGTTAGCTTAAATATTTCTTCCATCTCTACTATCTTTCACTGCCAAGCCTCCATAGGATCTGCCCAACTCTCCATTTTCTTTTCAAAGATATCTTAGGAGTTTGCATATGTGCAGGAATTTTCCTATCTTGGAAGGCAAACCTCAGATAAGGAAGGTTACATGCACGTAGGCACCAGGAAATGGCATTAGAAAATAAGACCCTAAATCTGTAAACAAGAGGAGCAAGAGAGGAGGAAATGGGATATGTTATACTTTAACTATAGCTAAACATTATAAGTGCTTAAGCAAGCAGTAATGGTTAACCAAAGATTTAAGTTACCTGATTCTGTGAGCCAATGATATGCTGCCAAATACACTGTAACTTGTAGTAACAAACTATATAATGTCACTCTGTAAAGCAATAAATTACCACATATTTCCTCAACCTTTCTGTGTGTGGTCATTTACAACAGATATCTTTCTGTTTATCCAGTTATAAGTTCTATAAAGTTAATTCTGAATTGACTATTCCATATATGGTATCATCATGTTCTTCTCTTGTTGCCACGCTTAATAAATCAGTTTTCATTATTCCATTTAATTTCTTCTTTCTGATCTCCAATATCCTCCAATACACAGATTATATGTCCAAAGTCAAGCTTCTTGAAATTTTTCTCAAAATAATCCTCTTTAAGTAACAAGCAACAAAGTTTCTCTTTCAAGTAACAAGCAGTCTGGAATTTACACTTTCATTTTTCAGCTGGCAGCCATCTTTCCCATCTCCGTTTGTCTTTTATCTTTACTTTTAAAGGCATATTTATTTCCTCTTCTCCTTCCTCTCTCTCACATAATCCAATCTCGTTTAGCCACAAGAAATAGCCAGAAAAATAGAAAAAAAAAATCAAAACTGTAACAAAGTCATTTCCAAAAAGTCTATAATTAACGCTGTTTATCAACAAGTCTTTTCTCCACCATTCTCCCGTGGAGGCAAACATGTTTGTCCCCAATGTTTTTGCCCCAATGTTTCTCAGCCACTGTTAAGGCTGGGGCACCTTTTTGTAATCCAGCATTTATGGGCAGTTCTTGCCTGGGCAGAAGTCAATTTACACGCCTTTCAAACTCCCTCCTCTGCTCTCCACTTCTCGCTTCTCCTCCTCTCCTCCAGCACGATCTTTGTTCACGGTTGCCCTGGTTTTGGGACAGCCACCATGGCTGTCATTCCACTGCCGCCGGTGTGAAGGGAAAGCCTCTGGCTCCGAGGAACCTGCCCGTTCCTCTCGGCTGCCCAAGGGGTCCCTTCTTGTCCCCCTGTCCCTTCAAGACAGGGGAGGTCCGAAGACCTGTCGGCGGCAGTTTAGCAGACGGGGTTTTGGCAGAGCTCCACGGAGCTCGCCATTTCCCTGTCTGTATCCCAACGGCGCCAACCAGAAGTCTCTGTTATACTGGATCTAATTCTTACTAACAGAGAAGAAATGATAGAGGGGCTTGAAGTGGCAGGATTCTTGGGGGAGAATGAGCATGTCATATTAGAATTCAATATAATGCAGACACAAGCAATAGAACATAATCAAAAAGAAAAATAAGAACTCCAAGAAAAAATCAGCATGATTGCACAAAGACCTCTCTGATAAACTGATAGACAAAAAGGATAAGTATAACAAAATGGAAAGACAGATACATAACTAAGGCAGAATATCAGCATATGTCCCAAACCTGCAAAAGATAAAGCTAAGGCTCAGAATGAAGTAAGACTTGCAACAAATGTCAAAAATACTTTTTAAAAATTCTTTCAACATATAAAAAACAAGAAAAAAGTCAAAGAAACAATTGGTCCACTAATGGGAGAAGATGGCAAGGAAGTGATGAGCAGCAGGGAGAAAGCAGATATATTTAATTCTTTCTTTGCATTTGTCTTCACACAAAAAGAAAAGAAAATAGCCCATCCTACCAAAAAGAGAACTATAAAAGATGGAATAGAAATTTAAATTAAAATAGGCAAAAAAACCCCACCTGTCCACTCTAGATGAGTTGGAGAACAACTGTAAGAGAACACCTGTCCATTCTAAATGAGTTCCAATCACCAGAATTACATCCCAGAGTTCTGAAAGAACTGGCACACGTGATCTCGGAACCAATTAACTATATCTTTCAAAGATCCTGAAGTACCAAGGAACTACCAGAGGACTGGAAAAGAGCTGATGTGGTTCCCATCTTCAAAAAAGGGAAAAAACAGATTCAGGAAACTACATATCAATCAGCCTGACATTAATATCTGGGAAGATCATAGAAAAGATAATTTAAAAAAGGATCTGTGAACACCTAGAAGCAAGCAAAAGTAACAATCAGAAGCTAACAAAGGTTTGTCAAAAACAGATCATGCCAAACAAATCTTCTCATTCTTTAACAAAGTGATTAAATTAGTGGATTAGCAAAATGCTATGGATATAGTATATTTGCATTTCAGTAAGGCACGTTGACCACGTAGACCACAACCTACTTCTTAATATGCTAGAAAAATGTGACGGCATTACCACCAGATGGATTTGTAACTGGCTGACAATCACATTCAACAAGTAGCCCTTAATGGAGCTGCATCTACATGGAGGGAAGTATGTAGTAAGGTTCTATCAATATCTTCATAAACAATTTAGATGAGGGAATAGAAGGAGAACTTATCAAATTTGCAGATGATACCAAGCTGGCAGGAATAGCCAACACCCCAGAAGATAGGTTAAAGTTCCAGATGGATTTCGACAGACTTGAACACTGGGTCCCATCTAACAAAATAAAATTCAATGAAAGTAAGGTTTTACACTTAGGCAAGAAAAACAAAATGTACAGGTATAAATTAGGTGAAACTTGGTTGAATGTCAGTAACTGTGAAAAGGATCTTGGAGTCCTAGTGGATAATCACTTAAATATGAGCCAGTAGTATGCTGCAGCCACCAAAAAAGCCAGTGCAATCCCAGAGGAATAGAATCAAGATCATGTGAAGTATCAGTACTCCTTTATAAGGCCTTTATAGGACCACACTTGGAATACTGCATCCAGTTTTGGTCACCACAGTGTTAAAAAGGTAATGAGACTCTGGAAAGAGTGCAGAGAACAGCAACAAACATGATTAGGGGGTTGAAGACTAAAGCATATGAAGAATGATTGCAGGAATTGGGTACAACTCAGGTACAATATGTCCAGTCTAGTGAAAAGAAGGATTAGGGGCCATAGGATAGCAGTGTTCCAATATCTGAGGGGCTGCTACAAAAAAGAGGACCGACAGCCTATTTTCCAAAGCAGCAGAAAGAAAGACAAGTAGCAATGGAAATTAACCAAGGGAGAAGCAACATAGAATAATAAACTAGTAGAATTGCTTGCCTTCAGAAGTTCTGGATACTCCATCACTGGACGCTTTTAAATATATGCTGAGCAGCCATTTGTCTGAAATGGTGTAGGGCAGTGATGGCTAACCTTTTTGCCATCGCATGCCAAAAGCAGGGGGAGTGCAGGGGGTTGCACGTGCGTTTGCCCACACCCATAATTCAATGCGCCCCTCCCCCCACGCATGCACCTGCACCCCCCCTGCATTCCCCCTGCTTCCGACATGCAATACCACAGTGGGCCCGGTAGGCACATTTTTCGCCCTCCTCAGGCTCCAGAGGCTTTCTTGGAGCCTGGGGAGGGCAAAAACAGCCTTCCCCACTCCCCTGGAGGCCAGAAACAGCCTGTTTCCCAACTTCCGGTGGGCCCGGAAGGCTAGAAAATCAGCTGGCTGGCACGTGCATGTGTGCTGGAGCTGATCTAGGGCAATGCTCATGTGCCCACAGATATGGCTCCACGTGCCACCTGTGGCATGCGTGCCATAGGTTCGCCATCACGGGTGTAGGGTCTCTTGCTTGAGCAGAGGGTTGGAATACAAGACCTCCAAGGGCCCTTCCAACTCTACTATTGTGTTCTGTTCTATTGTGTTCTGTTCCGGTTCTATTATCTAAGAAAAGCAGTTGAGAGTGAGGAGACCCATTTTTGTTTCACGGTGCTTTATTTTTAAATGTTTTGGGTTCTGATTGCAAATCTCCCATATAATGTGTAGTCTGGTCCTAAGTAATGAAAGATTGGCATCTCTTGGTGGAGGCTGGGTGAGAGTCATTGTCCCATCTGGATTGTGTCTAAGGTGATTTGATGATATAGAAGGAACTTGATTTACAACTGCTATTTCCTGCAGTGGGAGGGTGGATGATATATTAAATTCAAGAGCTATGCATTATTTGGGAACAAGATCCTTCCCTGAAGGACAGTGGTATCTGTCATACCATATTGCCCTCCCTGGTTCCTGACACTAATTTTGTTATACTGAATGTACAACCTCAATAAAGTGTCCTTTCAATACAGTTATTAAATGACTGTCCAGTATAAGATACACACTCCATTCCCTTGCCTTCCCCCAACAGCTTTGCCAGAACCTTCATCAAGCTCTTTGAAAGGTCTTCTCAATTACTCTATGAAAGGGCGTGGATGTGTATTGGACAAATGACTCCAATTTATAGATACCCTACAGGGAATCTCTGATGGTATCAGCTCAAAGTACTTGGCACTAATTGCATTGGGTCCATTAACTTGTTCTAATACCTTGGGCACACAGGATTATAAAACCACCACTTGTCAACTCCAAGCGCAGTAGGTGAGCTGAATACAGCTAAGTATCTCCAAAGCCATGAATGCCATTGGTGTTGCAGCTATGGCTGAAAACTACCAGAAATTCAATCCCATGGCTTACTTGCAGAACAACTATGCGCCACCACGTGCCAATTTCACTAGTGAGGAGTTTGCTGTGCCCTGGAAGCTCCGACGCCTGGCAGATGCCTTTGCCACAGGTAAGGGGTTACCAAGGTTTTCATTGGTTGGAAGGGGCTCCTGATACTTAACATTATTTTTTTTCCTCTGGCTAGAACGTTCTGTAGTCTCCCCTCCTAGATTATTTCCCCTCCTGTTAATAGAATATTTGTTAATACATTTTCAAAATCCTAACCTCGATAATCAGGAAAATAGAGTAGAATAGAATAGAATAGAATAGAATAGAATAGAATAGAATAGAATAGAATACTTTATTACCAAGGGTGATTGGACACACAAGGAATTAGTCTTTAGTGCATAAGCTCTCAGTGTACATACATACAATAACAAAATTATAGGTCATAGATCATAAATCATAATTATAATCATTAATCATATGATACAAACAACAAGTGATAAATCACAAGAAAGTAATAGGGGAAGATAGTAGGGAAGATGGAAGGTATTGGCATGCAATACCTTATAGCAGCGTCCTGAGGAGAGAAATTGAAACAGATTATCCAGGATGTAAGGGGTCTGTATATATTTTCTGTCTTCTTTCTGGTTTGTGCAGTAATCAGACCTTAATGGAAGGCAGGCTGGCTGAAATTATTTTTTCTGCAATTATCCATTAAAATTTGGACCTGTTCTGTTTGGTTGTTCATATTGAGGTACAAATGACAGACTCAATAATTCCTCTGTAGAAATGTATCAGCAGATCCTTGGGCAATCTGAGCTTTTTGAGTTGATACAGGAAGAACATTCTTTTTTGTGCCTTTTTAATGATGGTTCTAATGTTAGGTGTCCATTTCAAGTCCTGGGAGATAATAGAACCCAGAAATGTGAAAATCCCTATTGTTGATACTGTATTGTCTAATATTGTAAGAGCTGGTAAAATAGGAGAGCTTCTTCTAAAATCTACTATCATCTCTACAGTTTTAAGAATGTTTAGCTCCAGTCCAGTTCTGGCTGCAACACAGGGCCAGGGCCAGATCTACCTCTTGTCTCTGTGCAGACTCATCATCATTTCGAATGAGACCAATGACTGTTGTATCATCTGCAAACCTCAGTATTTTAACAGAAGGATTCTCCGAGATGCAGTCATTGGTATAGAGAGAAAAGAGTAATGGAGAAAGCACACAGTCCTGTGCTAATTGAACAGGTATTCGATGTGATTTTCCTTAGCTTAACCTGCTGCTTCCTATTCATTAGAAAGTTTATAATCAATCTACATGTGTGATCAGGCACAGCTATCTGAGCCAGTTTAGAGAGGAGGATTTCTGGAATGATAGTGTTGAATGCGAAGCTGAAGTTTACAAAAAGAACCCTTACATAGTTCTTTGGGGATTCTAAATGTTGTAAGATGTAGTGCAATGCTATATCGACAGTATCATCTGCTGATATATTCACGGTAGGCAAATTGCAGGGAGTCTAGCAGCAGATCTGTGATAGCTTTCAGATGGGCCAGCACTAACCTTTTGAAGGTTTTTATAGTAAGAAAACAATTTAGCTCTTTCAAAATTATGACTTTTACATCTCAAAATCTGAGCCAAAAGACCACCTTGCAAGACCTGTCCTTCTCTTGCAGAGTTGTTATAATGTTATAATGAAGCTGAGGGGGTGGGTATGAAAATACCTGCTTCTGAGTTTTGACACTCATGGTGAAACTGATCAATGTATCTTTTAATTTATCATCATCATCTTCTTCTTCTTCTTCTCCATCATCATCTGCTTAGTTTAGAATATTTTAGGAATAGAGGTTCTTCTCCAGCAATACCTGGAATGGCCATCTGAGCAAACAACCCTTGTCCAACCTATCTTGGATATTCCCCATGGAAGAGCCAGGGTTTGGTTTTAATTAACATTTGTCCTGTTTATGAATCTGCAGATAATGAAACCCCAAAACTTGCTCCCATCAGGTTTGGTGGCAATCTTTTTTATTTAAATGATTATTTGCTAAATGGATGTGGTTTTGATTTTTGAAACTTGGGTTGAATCAACCAGGTTGAAACAAAGCATTCTCTTTTACCTAGCAGCTCAGTTACTAGTCAGTTTCACAAGACAAATAATCTTATTTGCATATTAGCACTTAGTTCTACTATATAAATTTTAAAAATGCAGATATGAAGCAGCCTTGTCCACTCTCTTTGATGAATTATTGACTTCTACGATGGTGGAAAGATAATATACAAGTTGCTGTTAAATGTATGCTGTGGGACATCACAGATAAGAAGTGTTAAACTAACCCCTCTCCCTTTTACTGTATATTGTTTTAATAATGCTTAAACTTAGTAGGTTAATCATAGAATAATTCTTTGCCTACAAAAAGCCTTTGATTCAATCCCTGAAATTTTCAGGAAAATTTGTCTGCCTCCTGGAATGTCAAATGGGCTAGTCCTCTATTTCTGTCAAGGCAACAGCTTAATTTCTTACAACAACAGCACCTGAGCTGTTTAGCACAAAGCTAAAGAGGAAACTAAAAATGAATAGAAACTACTATTTAATATTATATTATTCCCTAGAGAGCCAATTCCCTGCTTTCCTTCCACACATACGCTTAGGATTCTATAGTGCTGTGATGAAAAACAAAAGAAATCATTTTCTGGATGACACTTTGGGGTCAATGGGATTAAGTATGACAGAGGCCTCTCAGTGTGTATCCAAGCACCACATTCCAATGGCTCCCCCTCTTCCAATTCCACTTCACTCTCTCTAGCTAGCCTAAGTTTTGATATTTAAATAAACATTTCTGATTTTTACAAATCTTGGTGTGTCTCCCCCCCCTCCCCGCTTTTAAATCCCTTGCAGGAAAAATCACTGGCCACACTCTGATTGATATTGGCACAGGCCCAACCATCTACCAGCTCCTCAGTGCCTGTGACTACTTTGAGGAGATTATAGCCACCGACTTCCTGGAAGTGAACCGGAATTTCATTCACAACTGGGTGCACAATGAAGACAAGGATGGCTTTGACTGGTCCCCTTATATCCAGCACGTTTGTAAAATTGAGGGCAAAGGGTAAGAAACTGAGGCTTTGCTTTTGGATTTAGGGAAAAGCTATATATTCTTGGAATTTATGTCCATTTAAAAAATGGTTAGGCGGGCCCCAACATGATTTGTGGGGAAAGAAAACGAAGATTATATTGTACCTGGAAATATGAGCCAGGAGCCAGACTGATCTATGTGCCATCTCATGTAATAACAGTGATTTGACACATGACTCCATTTCTATATTAGAATTAAACTTCCCATGTTTCATGCCAGCCATAAATATGCTCTGCGTCCCTTTTTTTCTTCCTGGTGACTATAGGGAGATGTGGAAGGAGAAAGAGAAAAAGCTGAAAAAAAAGCTGAAAAGGATCCTTCCCATTGACATCCATCAACCCGACCCACTGGGTTCTTTGCTCAGCCAACCAGCTGATGCTTTGATTTCTACTTTTTGCCTAGAGGCTGCGAGCCCCGACCGCCCAAGCTATGATAAAGCTTTTCAGAATGTCACCAGACTCCTTAAACCTGGTGGCCATTTTCTCATGATTGGAGCTTTGGAAGAGTCTTTTTACTTAGCAGGAGAAGTAAAGCTGACGGTTGTGCCCCTGAGCGAAGCAGACATCAAGGAATCGTTTGCAAAAAATGGCTATCATATTCATGACTTCCATTCCTACAGCATGCCTCCAACCCTGAAGATCGGAGTTGATGATGTACAAGGGATCTTCTTCATCCATGCACAAAAGTCTGCTTGACTGCATTTTGTCTAGAAGTTGTTTTTTTCTCTTGTCAAAGAAGCATGATGTTGCATAAAAGCTCAACCTGCTCATTCTTCCCATTATTTTTTGTGTTGGGAGTCTCTGTGCTTAGATCTTGTTGCCTCTGTTTTGATCTTATTTGAATTCACATTTATTGCCAAAAGAGGATAGTTTCAGTAATCTGAACCAAATCCCTTTGCAGATTTTATTCATTTTTACTGTCCATAGAATGAAATAATGCATTGCCCAAATTCTGCACCCCACCTATAGTGCAGATCAGGGACACAATACACATTTTTCATTTAGAACAGCAAGAGCAAAGTTGTATCTCTACAACAGCAGTAAAAAAAGGGGGGGGGGACAGTTTTCCCCAGTTTGGTATTCTCTAGATATGTAGGACTTCCAAGACCATGGTGGTTAGCAAATATAACATTTGGAGCCCAATATATTTGAAGAGCACCAAGCTGGAAAAGATTGAAAATATATTGGATACCCCCATCCAATATATTGGATACCAAAGCTGAGCAAGCAATCCACAATTAGCCACAAAATAGCCTGCCTATTTCAATAAATATATATATATATATATATTACCTGTTTTATTAATTTTGAAGTTGGCAGAAGAACCCTGTTTTGGTGTTCTATAGAACAGACTGGACACTTCCCAACATTTTTTTTCCTGATTGCCTGAGAAAATTGCTGCTAGAAGATAAACTATTTTCTGAGCAAGTTTACCTCCTAAATCCTCTGTTCTCAGTGTAATGGCATGCGTGTAATCAAGCTTCATAACCACAAGAAAAATAATTCCAGAAATATTTATCACAAGTTCTAAAAAGCTTTATGGAAAAACCTCTAAGGAGGGAGTTGCATCATAAACAACTTACTGATTTGTTTTGCATAATATATTAAGGTATGATTTGCTTAACTGTGGTTAAAAGAAGTCTCAATTGCTTGAATTTTCATGTCACATTATGTATTATGTAACCCAGATTACTGAGGATTCTGCTAACTGGTGGGGGAAGAAAGCAAGAAAAATCAGGAAGAAGAAAGGTTGCAAGATCTAGGAAAATTGCTGGAAATAAAATTGCTGGAATAAAGTTGCTGGAAAAAAAAATAAGTGCACTAGATTTCAATAGATACAAAATATGATTAAAACTGGATCCACCCCAATATTGAGACAGAAAAGTAAATAAATACTACAGCATATGTTATAAAAAATATCTGAGCACACTGGGTAGCTTTCATTTAATAACCAACGTTTTATGGACATCTATTAGGAGGTGCTGCATGCTTATTGAACTTCTGTTTTCCTCTTCATGCTGACCTTCTTGAAAGAATTAATATGAGAACCACTTTGAATTCACAAATAGTTTTTAAAATTTTATCTTCCCTCCCAAATGTGATAACTGGAAAGAAGTTTGCCATGAACGGCTGCCATCTATGGTGGCAGTTAGAGGGAACTGCCAAACTTTTTTTTTTTTTTAAAGTTGCTTGGAATGTAAATTGAACTCAGCCGTAATACTTTTATTTCAGTTCATTTTCCCTTCACCCTAATTTAGTTGCATCACCTGAGGAGTTAGGGTTTGGGTATATTGACAATAAAACACAAAAAGCAGGAGTTGTGATTTCAATTATGTTGCAAGCAGCATCAACAATAGCCAAGGCATTATATAAATTCTGCAGATTGTATTGTTCCTTAATGCCCAAAAGTTATTTTCAGATTAGAAGAGAACATACTAAAAGCAAAGGATCTTATATACTGTACATGTATTTTCCTTGAAAAACAACAACAGTCTATTGAAATGATTATGTTCAAGGCTTGGTGGCGTTGAAGTCATTACAAGTATTTCCACCATCTATTGTTGCCTCCTCCATGTGTGTGTGTGTGTGTGTGTTTGTGTTTCTGCCATAAAGACATTATTAGACAGAAGACAATTAAACATATCTAATAGCCAGATGTTTCTAAAACTAAAATGTAGTATTTTAAGTAGTTTGTTACATCTACCGAATTTTCCACTTGCAAATCGATGACTGAGTTGTGCCATTTCAGAAAGCAGGACTGTGATGGTGTCACTCATAGGGTGATCACTTCTTAGCACAGCTGGTGGAACAGATGTATCTTCTGCCTACAGGCCACCTTGTTCCTTTTCCAAATTCCCTGATTTAGGAAAAAGTCAGCTTGTAGGCTACTGTTTCTCAACCTTGGAAGCTTGAAGATGGGTGGACTTCAACTCCCAGAATCCCCCAGCCAGTTGAGAAACACTGTTGTAGGCAGAAGATAGATCACTGACTTGCTTGTCGGTAAGCATTCTCACACACTGGGAAACTCACAGACTTCAGCAGCTGCCCTTTAACCAAGCCAAGCTTCAAAGACAAATGGAGATTAAAGGGATAGCAATATGATGGAAGGATTTTTCATGGCAGTTACAAGCTGCTAAATAAGGTCATCAAGAGTTTAGCATTTAAACTGAATCATTTTTATTGGAAATTGCACACACATTAAAAAAAAAAAAACCAGCAGAAATTCAATTACAGCAGGATGTCTCCCCCAGAAGAGTCTGTACAATGTACAGAGGAACAATGTTAAGAGGAATGCTGTTGACCATCCAGTATGTTATCTGGGATTTAATAGTTTCTTTCATTTCAGCTGACTTCCAGCAGAAGTAGCAATAAAAAACTACCAAGTACCTGGGAGATGGATATGTTTGGACAGATATAGTTTAAACAGAATATATTATCTTTTATGCAATATTTTAATAAAATTGTGCTTTTCCTTTTTGACATATATAAAATCTTAGGGTAGACAAAGATGTTTCACAGTTGAAACTCCACCACCCTTACCCCATTCAACAGAAAGAAGGGGAGTTGCTTGCCTAGGAACTCCGTATAAACTATTTGCAAAGGAAAGGCAGGATTTTAACTTAAATCCTGGTATCACATTTATAGGGATATGATTTATGAGGCATCTGGAGTCCCAGAAGAAAGACTGGGTGTGTTTTTATGATTTTTCCCATAATTTCCAATCCATTGCAAGAATGCGTTGGTTTCCAAACAGAATTGGGACTAAGGATATCAGCCAGGAAAAAAAAAAGTTATTGAATTTCTCTTCTGGAATGGAAATGGCAGGGAGGGATGGATGGACAACAGCAACACCGTGAAAAAGTCCCATTATTATAATTTAGTTTGCATTTGAGACACTGGAGCACTTATTATCTTGGTGAAAATGTATCAGACATCAATAATTAGCATGAGGTGGATCTTTTCACAGAACTCTTTCTCAGCACAGTGGGAAGAGTATGAGTGGTACTACTCAGATTAGGACTGAGTTCATGCTAAACCAAGATTTGATTTTTTTCCCCCAGGGTTCATTTAATGAACTATAATTGGCTTAATTGCACAATGTACTCATGGCCTATAAATTGCCTAGCTGAAATATAAAACAGGAAGGTCAAATGAGCTTGATGAGTTAGCAAGGAATGCACCCATAGCCTTCTGGATAGGAAACTGGCTCTTCTCCTGCCAGTTTATTCTCCTCACCATTATTTTTCATGATCTATTGATTGCACTATTCCTCCCATACATACCACATCTGGAGCTTCTAACTTAGATCTGTCTGCACAAATTACTAGCATATGGTTTACTAGACTGTGGGCTACCAAATTAAATCAACTGTGTTCACACAACATACTTAGTTATAAAGCTAACATATTCTAGATGTATTTTCACAAACAGAAGGCCCTTAACAGGCATAGGAAGAAGGTAGGAAGAAGGCTTTCCTCCCACTGATCATTAGGTCAAAATCTGAACATAGAATAGGGTTGGAAGAGGCCTTGGAAGTCTTCTAGTCCAAACCCCTGTTCAAGCAAATGGACAAATGGTTGTCCAATCTCTTCATGAAAACGTCCAATGATGGAGCACCCACCACTTCCAATGGAAGGAAGGAAGGAAGGAAGGGAGGGAGGGAGGAGGGAGGGAGGGAGGGATGGATGGATGGATTTTTTCCCTGTTTACAAAACACCCTTCTCAGCATAGAATCCAGAACAGCTTTAGAACAGAAGGCACAATTACAATTGTTCCTATGAGATTCCTATGAGATTTAGCCTGGCTAGGTGGATCAGTGGCTAAGACGCTGAGCTTGTCGATCAGAAAGGTTGGCAGTTTGGCGGTTAGAATCCCTAGTATAGGTCTCCTGCATGAGCAGGGGGTTGGACTAGATAACCTCCAAGGTCCCTTTCAACTCTGTTACTGCTATTATTTTAGTCACAGGAACTGAAAATTGTCCAATAGTACATCTAGCCTGGTAGTGGTTCTGCCACAGACATGTTTCTTTTTTCCTTTCTATTTTCCACTTAGGAACTAAAAAGCCCTAGCAGCTGCCTCTCCTAAACAGGAAAGCAGCTCTTGGACCTTCAGCAAAAATGCCACTGATTTCATATATTTAAACACTGGGTGGGCAGTCAGTAAGGATTGCTCTGCATGGGCACAATTAGAAACGATTCTTCTGGCTACCAACCTTCAATTTCAATGCTTGCGCAAGAGCCCTCCACGCCTTCAGAACCAACATTATTAGCTCCCTTTTTTGTTTCATTTATTAGCTATCCAAGCTGTGGGCAACCTGAGGCCCTCCAGAGACTAGTCAGTTAACACTGACTTTCTGATAGAGGCTGCAGTGAGTTAATATTGAGCAACATGCAGAAAGCTGCAGATTGCTCACCTTGAAACAGATAAAGGCAAGCAAAAATATGCACATCACATTTTGTTCTCTTTGGTTAGCCAAACTAAGGTGCAGCCTAATATAGATCCCCAACGCCAATAACAGGACATCTCCAGCTGTCCAGGCTCCAAGCTGCCAGCCAAAAGGATTGGCAAAGCTTGTGGAAAGTACATCCCTTTGAAACAGGATGGGTGACATAGTGACTTTTGGAAAGTAACAATAGGATTACTATTAATCCAATTCACACATCTAACCTGAAGTTGGATGTACTATATAAAATTAGACATGCAAAAACAGCCTTGCATTTAAAAAGTGGTGTCTGCTGTATCTGGGCAACAAAAACAAGCATCTCTCACAAATATGGGTCTCAGGACCTTTGGACAACTTCCCTTGCCTGGACTGTTTCCAGCCAGCCCACTTCAGCAGTGTCTGCAAGACAGCCCAAAAATCTGACATAACTGCTATGACCATTCAACCAAAGTCCAGCCTCCTTTAAAGTGTGTTATGATGCATGTAAAAAAAAAAAAAAGGAGTAAGGCTTCAATTTTATGATTATGGTGGCCATCCTGACTATTTTGAATCCTCTGTTACCACTGGCACACTCTCAGTTTTGCAAAGCAGCACTTTTGAACAGAAGTGCTGACTGACAAAAGGGAATCAGGACAATGTCAGATTTCCAAGGCTCCTATTTCTGCTTTCACAATGTTTAGGTTCTACACAACAAGCAGCTTCTCTTGCTTCCTATTGTTACATATACAATGCTGGCTTGCAGAATGCTGCCAGAAGATGGTTCAGTCAACTAAGCTTTCATCTTTGAAGAACTCTGTACACTCTGCTGCAAAATGTGGTACCTGTTTATGATTGGAGAAAGGAAGATTTCATTTGCCTGATTTGTCCTGTCTAATTAAGACATACAAAAGAACAAGAAGGCCAGTGGACTCATTCCCAAGCTTGCTTGATTGCTTCCAGAAGAACAATCAAATCTCCAACTGCAGCAAAACGTAACAAAGAAAGGCTGCAGCGGTTTAAAGATAAAATCTTCAAGTCAAACTTAACTTTTGGGGAAACTGTTTAACACAGCTATGTAATTTCCATGGCAACATTCCAGAAGAGGCTTGTCGTTCCATATTGGGATAATTTTTCAATTTCCCAACCTGGCTTGTGATCCTGGTATTCCCCACTACATGTCCCATCCAAGAACTAACCAGACCCTGCCCTACTTCTTCCCCAATGGGGAAACCTACCATTCCTGGAACTCTGCCAGATATTGCCAACACCAGAAGCCTAAATTTAAGATCAGCTATTTTTTTCCAGGTAGCATCATGCAATAATGTAAACCAGCCTAGATTCCCCCAATTAAAATAATCACCATCCAAATCGTCCAAGATGATCAACGTTTATCTATTTTAATTACTTTAACCTGGTATTCTCACAGAAAAGTTTGTGAAAGCAGCATTGATGCATGAAATTTCATGTGAGAAGGCCAACATCAGCATCTAAGATAATGACTTTTTGTTGTTGAATCTAGCCATCTGGAACTTCATGTTGATGATCTCTTGTCTTGTATTCATATTCAGCAACCCCACAATTGGGACCAGCCACTCGGGCATTAAGCCAAGCAATCACTAAGTGAAACAACTGTACTTATGTCAGCTTTCCTTTGCTTTAAAACCTGTGAAGGTCATAAATACAAGGATTGGTTGTAAAATTATTTCTTCATCACATAGTAATTGTGAACATCTGCTTAATAAGGCAGTCACCAAACAAGGATTTCCTTTGTATAAGATTACACTGTTAGTCTTGGAGATATTTGAATTTTTGCCAGAGGAAGGCAACCAGGTTTCAGATCAGGTATTTTGGATTTCAACTTTCATCAGGCCTAATCATAGGCCTACCTATGACAAGGGACTATAGGTGAGCAACCTTTCTGCTCCAGTTTTCAGAGAACTGAAAGTAAGTGGAAAAGTTTTAGTCAAACGGAAGTGAATTAAAAACTGATAATAAAAGGCGCTCCTTTTCTCTCCCAGAACTGAAAGTGGGAATGCATATAGTAAAGTGGAATTTTAAATCTCTTCCTCAGCCAATGTGAACCCTTTTCACACTGAAGATACCAAGCACATCCCTCAGGATTGGGGAGTCACCATCAAAAGCATCTCCCCCCAAGTCAGGCAGAACAGTACAACCAACAATAAATGGGGTTCCCCATGACTGTTTCTTAAAAGGGATGATGATAAGCAAATTGTTGTTCAGGAAAGTCTAGCCACTACTGCCAATTTTCTTGTGCAGCAGCCTGATAACATAAATTAATTAAAGGCTCCCCTGTTTAAAATTACATTACAATAAAAACATAGAACCAAAACCTTATGTTTTAAACACCACTTCCAAATCACAGATGAATTGGCAAGCACTGCCATCTGGTGGCTGAATAGAGCCAAAATACCCACATGAACAGTCTCACTCCATTGCACATTTTATTTTGATTTTTCACTGGTCATAGGCAATTTCTGAATCCTTTGGCACTCTTCAAGCAAAAGACACTTTGGCCTCAGGTTACTTTTTCTAGTTTTCCCACAGGCAGAAAATTGCTCAAGTGTTCACAATCAACATGTAATGAGTTCTTTTAAGCGCTGTAAGTATTGCTGAATTGAATGCCCTGAAAGGCTTCAGCAATAAGAAAATTTAATGAGCAACAAAATCCTGAGGTCATCTGTCTCTGCAAACAATCAACATTTCTTGGCATAAATATTCAGGCACTTTGTCATCTTCAAATTCAGACGGACATCCCTTAATTTAAGCCTTCCTACAATTAAAGGAAAGAAAATGGCTGAATACCAAAAGAAACTATAGGAACAGCCTGCCTTTGAATACAGATGAATTTGGCTGGTCTAGTAATGGGGCATAGCCATAGAAGCCCCAACAGAGTAGATAGCAAGCTTCCTCCAGGACTCTGAGTGACAAATGATTCAGGAAAAATAGAACACTGACCAAGATGGAGTTTTATATATATACACACATACATATATACATATATAAAACTGTTGCCCCACTCTCCAGTTTGTGTATTGTTATTTTAAAAACAAGGAGCAGATGTGGAGAAGACGAGAAATGCTATTTATTTCCCCTCCAGATCTGTTTTGCACTTCATCTCGAAATTTCTCAAACAGCTTTTGCAGCTTGCTAGGAATAGTTTGTGCCATTAAAATGTCACAAATTAATCCCAAAAGATTAATTAAAATATTTTTAAATAATTCCCCATGATTTTCCTCCTCCAGCTGGAAGCTAATTCTGATGACAGTCCAATAAATCTGGTAGTGGTGGCGGTGTTCTCAAGATTTTTGGAGCAACTTAATAATACAGTACACAATGAAGTGATGTGACTGAGCATGTCCATGATAAGAAAGAATAAGGATTACTGTGATGGAATATATATACATATGCACACAAAGCTTTGGAGACAGAAGACAGTTGACCTCAGCACCACATATTATAGTTTGTTTGTTTTTTAAAAAAGTCACTGCAGTATAGAATCCATTTTCTACTTTTCTCATGACCGACAAGAAAGTAGGGAGCATAGTGCTAAACTCCCAATGGCTTGTTGAAAAAACAGGGAGCTTCTCAGTGAAGCAGCATTTTAAGATCACTTGTCTGAAAATCTGGATTTCAAGTCAACAGCAGCATAAAGATGGATTGTGGTTTACCAGACCTGCTGCTGCCCTTTATTTTCCCAAGTGGCTTGCAAAGTCCTTTCAATGCAGTCTACTGGACTAGCCAAAACCCACAGAACCGCGTTTGTAAAAATGAAAAAAGAAACAGAATGAAATAAATAAAGCTTTCCCTGCTCTCTTCAGAGAATTGTAGGAAGAACTGGTGGAGAAGGCAAATGAAAGGACCCAAAATAATCCCAGGGAGACAAGAGGCGTGTCTCGATACATTCAAGCAAAAAAGGCAATCAGGTTATCACACTATGGCAACAGAAGTCTGAAAGGGAAGCTGTTGAGATGTAAAAACAGAAGCAATAGAGAGGAAATTGTCACCAATCGTCAGAGCAAAGCGGGCTTAGAACATCAAACTCCTCAGATGCTAGAAATCAAAGCAATAGGGTGTCTTTTATAGATGGCAGCCCATGGATTTTTCCAAGTTACTCTCTGCCACAGGTTTTAGTCTATTTTAAGAATCTCAGAATTGGCCTTCAGAAGATAAAGACTGTCATCGACAAGGAAACTGTAAAGAAAAAAGACGAAAGTTACTAGGATGAATGATCAGTAATGGATTAAGGCTAATTTTTTTTTGCTTTAATTTATTAATTTAATTAATAAATTAATTTATTAAATTATTTAATTTAATTTTAAAATCAGGATACAGATGGACATTTTTTTTTTCAGGCTGTAAACTGCAATCACTGTACAAAATCATGACAGGAGAGAGTGAAAAAAAAATAAGCAGGGCCTAAATTAGTCTACGTAATAATGATAATTTATCACTAATATTATTTCTTAGTGGTTTACGTGGCCTTTTCTGATGATGATTCTTTCTTGGTGACAGATACTTCCCTGAACCAATAAATATGGAAATCTCTCTATTTCAAACTTTGAGTCCACTGAAATCAAAGCTGTTCTCAGCAGCCTAGGGGATATATGTGTATATCTTCCGAATACAGTTGGGATCGGAACCTCCATTGCTAAGCAATATGGTTATTAAGTGAAGCACATCAAATGTTACGACTATTTTTGCAAATCACCACGTTCATTAAGTGAATTTGGCTTTGCCCAGTGACTTTGCTTGTCAGAAGACCCTGGGAAGGTCACAAGTGGTCATCAAATGACCCCAGGATGCTGCGGCCATTGTAAATGCAAGCTGGTTGCCAAGTTCCCAAATTGTGATCATGTGACTATGAGGATGCTGCAACAGTCGTAAGTGCGAAAACTGGTCATAAATAACTTTTCTCAGCACCGTCATAACTTTGAACGATCATTAAACAAATGGTTGTAAGTTGAGGACTATTTTCGCAAGCAAGAATGCATAATTGGGTGAAAACCAATCCCAATTATCATTTAAAACCATCCACAAAAACATTACTTACCCCCAGAATTTACAAACAAAAGAAGAAAAAGGCAGAAAGCAGTAAAAAAACAAAATGGAATCAAATAGAAACTTTTTAAAAAGGCACCTTGAAATCATTCATTTTTTAAAATGTTTTCCTGAAAGTCAGCAAGAAAGGAACCAGCTTGATCTATATTGAGAAGCCGTTCCCAAACTCTGGTGGTGTTGCATAAAGGCAGCTCCTTCTCTCTTCAGCCTCCCAAACCTCTAAAACATGTAGAATTAGGAGTTATTTCTCCCTAGACCTTTTAATAGCTTGAGCTAATGGTGACTAAGGCAGGTGATCCTGTATATATTCAGGTGCCAAGCTATATATGCCTCTATGTGTTCCCAAAACCAATCAATAACCCACAACTGACATACCAGCTAACATAGACCCCTCTAGTCACAGCATCATTCTAAATATTGGGGGCCACCGGGCTGATATTTCCTCTCCACTATCTCAGACTGAAACTGTCTACTGAGCGAGGAATAAACCCAACCCCTGTAGACAATTCAATGGATGTCGAGATCGATGGTATTAAAAACAAGACCAAGACACTCTCCCCATCCAACCTAGAAATAGGTCACCCAAGAGAGACCAATATTGTCTCTGTTTCATACTGGTCTTGAAAAACATCTGAAAAAATCGAGATAATTCACTAAGTTTAGACTGCTATCTAAACATCTAAACAAAAAGGGATGCGGTGGCTCAGTGGCTAAGACACTGAGCTTGTCAATCGAAAGATTGGCAGTTCAGCAGTTCGAATCCTTAGTGCTGCATAACGGGGTGAGCTCCCATTACTTGTCTCAGTTTCTGCCAAAGTAGCAGTTTGAAAGCACGTAAAAAATGCAAGTAGAAAAATAGGGACCACCTTTGGTGAGAAGATAACAGGTTCCGCGTGCCTTTGGCGTTTAGTCATGCCGGCCACATTACCACGGAGATGTCTTCGGACAGCACTGGCTCTTCAGCTTTGAAACGGAGATGAGCACCACCCCCTAGAGTTGGGAACGACTAGCACATATGTGTGAGGGGAACCGTTACCTTTAGACTGCTATCAAGCTGGTCAGCCACCATTATCTTAATCACCTGATCCCCAAATGTTGGGTCATTCTCATACTTTTGCAACGGCCACCAGCAGAAGCCCACCCAGATAGAAAGTATGAAGGAGGAAGCATGCAAAATAGACTGACCTGTAGAAAAGGATATTGACAGGGATAGTACTGATATGCCAGATGGCATGGGCATCAAAAACCCAAAACAGGGGTGGAAAATCCAGGAGCTCCAGGAGAGCCAAGGCCTGGAGAAGCAGGACAACAGCCACACACTTCCAGACATAGGGCAGGCGTTGCTGGTTCTGCATACACCAACCCAGCCACCAGAAGAGATTGAGAAGGCCTGCAAGGTACAGAACAACACTTCATGTTAACCTCACTTTTACTACTCATTGATCACAGCAGAAAGAAGCAGCTTTTGTTGCGACGGACACTGGGGGACCCTGAGGGTTCGGTCTGACCTAAGCGTAGTATATAAAATTATCTGCTACAATGTTCTACCTGTCAATGACTACTTCAGCTTTAACCACAACAATACAAGAGCACACAATAGATAAAAATTTAAGGTAAACCGCTCCAAACTCGACTGCAGAAAATGTAACTTCAGCAACAGAGTGGTCAATGCCTGGAATGCATTACCTGACTCTGTGGTTTCTTCCCCAAACCCCCACAACTTTAACCTTAGACTGTCTACTGGTGACCTCATCCCATTCCTAAGAGGTCTGTAAGGAGCGTGCATAAGCTCACCTACGTGCCTACTGTCCCTGTCCTAATGTCCCCATTTATTCGTATCCATTTCCTGTATTCATAATAATGTTTATACTTATATCTGTTACCTTATACATACTTGACAAATAAATAAAAATAAAATAAATAAAATAAAATAAAAAAATACTACCAGAGCCCTGATTGCATTGCTCCCTCCTAAGCACTAAATGCTGAGTATGCATCCCATTTGTCCGTAGCAGAAAGGCACAGAGAGGATGGAATGGAATGGAATGGAATGGAATGGAATGGAATGGAAAGGAAAGGAAAGGAAAGGAAAGGAAAGGAAAGGAAAGGAAAGGTTTGGAAAAGGCAAACAGGAGAGAAAAAAGTTTCATAAGGCAGTAAGAATGTTCAATGTTTAGAAAAGAAACACGGAAATAAATTAGCTAAAGCTATTTTACATAAATAAAATAAAAATATTGATTCCTCGGGTCTCACCAATTGCCACATTGGCAGCCATATTGTAACCATAATCAAAGCGCACAAGGGTCAGATAGGAAACATGGCAGGCCAGGAAAAAGAGCAGGAAACCGCCAAAGGCAGTGGCAAAAGCCGGACGTTTCAGCCCTAGAGTTCTGCAAATTAAACACATATGAAGTTGAAGATATTTCAAACAACTGCCTCATTTCACACAGACCATTTTTTTTATCCCTAGTTTAGACTAAACAGTAAAAGAAATATTTTTCTCAATACAGATTACTTGCAGCTACAGAAGAAAATCACACATTGATTCAAATAAGGAATTGTACTCTAGCCTTTGACAACTTTCCATCTCCAAGTTGCCACCATCCCCACTTTTTCCTTCAGGAAAGGGATACAAATTTTTTCCTAACTAACCCTTCAAAGTTGGAGATTTTGGGGTAGCTATTTAGGGAAGCCTTTTAGAAAACTGATATAGGGAGTCGTTGTGGGAATTAGAAATTGTCATGACTGTAATCCTATGTTTTTTAAGGAAAGTCACTGACTATTCCAGTGAGCCTTAGTGCAAATTTATTAAGAAGATAACTGTCCAGTTAGGGATTTCTGTATTTTGATCATTATTCCTCAAGTACTGAATTAATTGATTAATGTTGTTAGACTGATGAATACAAGCCACTCAGAATCTGGACTGGAATAGGAAATAGATTGCAATAAATAATGTGTGACTAAAACTTGCTTATTGACTGCATATAAATATATGGGTTTTCATTGAAAAAACATTTCTTATCATGCCACACCATGTATGCTATGGTAAAGTATTGTTAAGAGGCTGTCTTAAGCAGATAAAGTCCATTTTTCTTTCTCTAAATTATTTTCTTTTACACAAACTGACCCCCTTCAAATATTTTGGAGCTTCCTCTTCCAAGAACTCTAGTCAACATAGGAGTATATGATTAAGAATATGGGGAGCTGTGCTCCCAACATACCAAAAGGACATGAACTTGGGAAGGATGCTCTAGAGAAACAGAAGGGAAATTCAAAAATTCAGAATTGGACATAACAAAATATATGATCTGTACCAGTTGAACTAATTTTTACATTAATTAATCAAACTCTACACCACTTTCCATGTAATAAGACATCTTAAAATGACAGAGAGACATTTTAATCAAATAACTGTAATGAAAATGAAGACAAAACCACTGAAAGATTAGGTGAACTTTGGTCTTATGTAGCAACTTACCTGACACAACACAAGTACACAGAATAAAGGATGACCGCTGATGCACAGAAATAGTCCATTTTCTATGAGAGGAGAAATTGAATTAGAGATGTGGGCCAGATCTTGCCCAAGGTGCATGCCACCTGAAAAACACCTCTTTGATATCACAATACAAAAGCTCACCTCAGTCAGATTTGTTTCTCGGGTATGAAAAACCATGGACCAGAACCAGGCATTTAAAGACACCTGAAGGAAAAGTGCAAGAAAGAATTGGTCTGAGCATGCCACAAGATTCAATCAACAAAGCTGCAGTTGTGGCACAGAGGAAATGTAGGGAATAGCCCACTCTTTTAAGTGCCTATGTGGCTATCAAGTGGTATTTGATTATATCAGGGATGTCCAACCTTGGCAACTTTATGGTTTGTGAACTTCAACTCCCAGAATTCCCCAGCCAGCATTGAGGTCCATAAATCTTAAAAGTTGCAAAGATTGAACAACCCTGGATTATAACTACAAGCCTGAATAGGCTATTGATCCAAAATGAAGACAACTGGAAAGGAAACCTGATCCTCCTTGCCTAGATGCTAGTGTTTGGAAAGGAGTTTAAAAAACTGAATGTCTTCTTGTCCAAATTTTCTTTCTTCTATTTAGCTGTTGGCTTAGACAGACTATGCTTTCTGAGCATAGCTTCAGCTTCTCACACACAATCAAACAATAACAATAAAACTGTCTGTCAAATATGCTGAATGAAAATAGATACAACTAATTTCAAATGGGGCACAAGGGGAGTCATCTAAAGGCCAAAGATTGACTACTCTTCTCCTGAGAGCACTTAGGTCACTGGGGCTATGATGTCTCAAACCTCTCAAGAGGTTGGGACAGTAGGGAAGAAAGGCTGAGGGCTGTTTACGTGATAAGCAGGAAAAAAAAGATGTCATATGCTTTCTTTCACCCTTCACTTTCTGATTGGTTTAGCAGCACAATTTCTAGAATCTTTGAGAATGTTACAGAATACAAGTTTAATCATAATGCTGGAAGACGTTGGCTAATTCCTGAATAATTTCTTTGTTGTTAGTTAGTTGCGAAGTCATGTCTGACACATCGCGACCCCATGAACAACATTCCTCCAGGCCTTCCTGTCCTCTCCCATCCTCTGGAGTCCGTTTAAGCTCATGCCTATTGCTTCAGTGATTCCATTCAGCCACCTTGTTCTCTGTTGTCCCCTTCTTCTTTTGCCCTCTGATCTTTCCCAGCATTAGGCTCTTCTCCAGTGAGTCCTTCCTTCTCATTAGGTGGCCAAAGTATTTGAGCTTCATCTTCAGGATCTGGCCTTCTAAAGAGCAGTCAGGGTTGATCTCCACTAGGACTGACCGGTTTGATCGCCTTGCAGTCCAAGGGACTCCCAGGAGTCTTCTCCAGCACCATAGTTCAAAGGCCTCAATTCTTTGGCGCTCAGCCTTTCTTATGGTCCAACTTTCACAGCCATACATCGCAACTGGGAAAACCATAGCTTTGACTATATACACTTTTTTTTTAAACATAAACATAAAATACATCTTTTCAAAATGAAGCATTTATCCTGTCATAAATTGATACAAATCACTAATAAATCTCAATTTACAATTAACACAACTTAATATTTTACTCAATTATTTCCCTAAATTCTATTTAACAATGCCATTATCCCAAAAACCCGTTACTTAAGTCTTTAAATCGTAACCAAATATCATTTCATTTTTCTTTTTCTTTTTACTTAGATGAATGTATTTTAAAAATATAAATCATTACAATTATTATAAGCCTTTAAACAATATTTTAACTGTTGCTCCCAATATAATCATCTTTATTGCTGTTTGTCCTAACATTATTTTAATTTTAATTATTAATCGCAACATAATCATCTTATTCTTACCACTAATCCTAGCACAATCATCTTTGTTTTAACTGTTTATCCCAACATATCATCTTCATCTTCATCTTTTACTGTTAATCCCAGCATCTCTTTATTTTTACTGTTTATCCCAGCTTAATCATTTCATTTTTACTGTTGATCCCAACATAGTCCTCCTTGTTTTTGCTGTCATACCCAGCATAATCATTTTTGTTTTTTTGCTGTTAATCCCAGCATAATCATTTCATTTTAACTGTTAATCCCAGTATAATTATCTTTGTTTTTGTTGTCATACCCAGCATAATCATTTTTGTTTTTTGGCTGTTAATCTCAGCATCATTGTTTTTGCTGTCATAGCCAGCATAATCATTTGTTTTTTTGCTGTCAATCACAGCATAATCTTAATTTTACTGTTAATCCCAGTGTCGAGCCCCAGCCGGGTCTCGACACTCACGGGACTGGAGGGGAGGAGGTTACCAGCTGTTCGAAAGGTCCACATGAAAGGTGGCTTGTCACACAGTCTCGGGGCGTCGCAGCACAGCACAGAGGACGGCGTGGAGCAGAGACCGAGGGCGCGGCGCTCTCCTATGACATCAGGGAAGCGCCGGCTTTTTCACCACCGAATTGCTGTTGGGAGGGGTTTTGCCTTTAACTGCCAGATGGTGGTTAGAGTGGGGAAATATGTATAAATAGCGCCACACAATGGCTGTGTGTAGCACTGACTTTACACTTATGATCCAGCTTATTCTTTTCTGCTGGCTGTGTTGCTGAAACGACCAAAAGTAAAAAGCATTGCAAATCGCTCTTTCGTCTGGTTCTTTTGTTGCAATCCGGGCTGGCTGGTGACAAGCTGAGAGAAAGTCAGTGCTACCTTCTTCTTTCTAACGTTTTGACTGACAGTTGGAGCATGGCTGAAGGGACGGTGCCAGGAGGGTTAGAGTCGGAACTGGCGTTTGAGGCTACTGCAGAGGAGGTGCTTGCAGAGGCGGAGGCACCGCAGGAGACCATAGAGCAACCAGCGGTTAGACCCAAACTACGCATACCATGTGGGGATGACGGTCGTGGGACGGATGCATGCAGAGTCAGGACCCTGGCCGCCTTGGACAGTCAACTGGTGGAGACTGGTGGCCTAGCTCTACCCTTGTAGGTCCCAAGATGCCGACCCCTCCCCCATGGGTCCGTCTTTCCGGGGCTGGAGGGAGCCCCGTTGGACAGACGAGGAAGAGGGGGACTGGGGTTTTGTTGCTACCGGAACCAGACCCAGTACTACAGATACCCTTTGGGACCGCTTTGGGGAGGGGAGTTTCCGTGATGCCCATGCCTGGCAGCCGTGGGCCACTGGGCTGGACACATCACAAAGCATGTCCTGGCAGCAGACTGGGTTGCCCAGTTCAAGTTCACGTTTTCGTATTGCTAGTCCTAAGTTCCGGAGGGGACAGGAACCAGGTCAAGTGGGTGACCATGGGGGATCCTGGGATCAGAGTCGCCTGTGGGAGAGAGTTTGGTCGGGCCCCAGAACAGCAGCCACAGAGGACGGAGGTCGGGGCTGAAAGGAGGACACAGTGATCAGTAATGGATTGACCTCAGCCGGAGAGTGGGGTAGGAGGTGAGCGGAGGAGTGCTGTAGCGAGCAGAACCCTAGATCCGGTACCAGTGTGGGGCCCCGCGCCGGGGAGTGGGGTCCCCAGCCCACCTGGGGTCCTCCTGCATTGCCAGCCACGTTTGATGGAAGCCCAGACCGAGTGGCGTTGTTCTTGAGCCAGGTGATAAGCTATCTAGACCAATATGGGCGTTGGTACCCCTCCCAATAGGCCATGGTTGTGGCCATCACAGCGGTGTTAACTGGCGACGCTGCTAATTGGGTGGCCAGCTTGCATCGGAACCACGCTAGAGAACTGGTGGATGTAGGACAGTTTTTGGAGGCCCTTCGCTCCACTTTCGAGGACGAGTCCAGTGTGCAAGTGGCGGAAGGTGATCTAGTTGCACTCAAACAAAGGGGTGGCCCTGCAAAGGACTATGTACAAAACTTCCGGAAGCTTGCCAGTCATTTGGTGGACTGGCCAGAACGAATGTTGGTGCAACAATTTCGTATGGGGTTGGACCGGGAGCTGAGACAGGCCTGTGTGTACCGGGGTCTGGCTCTGCGGTTGGCTGTTTGGTTCAAGGCAGCAATAGATTGGAGGTGGGCCTCTGAGAGTTCCGTGCCAAACCAGAAGCCACCCTTGGACAACAGCGATCCACAGTAGAGGGGCCGCTGGAAAAACCCCCAACAGTACGGGATCCTCCTGGGGATTTTCTGTCACCTGGTCAGTCCCAGGACAAAGCCCAGAGGCCGATCTTTCGTTGTTATAGGTGTAATCAGGTGGGTGACAGAGTGGCCGATTACCCCATGCCGCCACACGACCACAGTCCCAAAAACAAACTGAGAGGACATCCGAGACAACCAACAGAGCGAACACAGGCGCTCCAAGGCCCGAAAGTGACTGTAAACACCCAGACTCGAGACGTCAACCCAACATCAGCGGTGGAGAGGTTTCCAGTGGTGTCGGGAGACAGTGATGACGAGGAGCCAGAGGACCCAATGGTGAGCGACCCTGTTATCCCTTTGTTATTCCGGTGGTATTGAGGAACCCACGTTGTCCTACCGGTCTCCAGTATGGGGCTTTGATCGATACTGGGTGTACCCGGTGCCTTATCCGTAAGGCTGTAGTGGATGCTCTAGGTCTGAGAGTGAGAAGACTAAGAGTCCCGGTCAGGTTCGAACAAATGGACAGCACATCTTCGGGCGACTGTTCTTCGTCGATGTCACGATTCCAAACAAGCAGGACATTTCGGGTTTTTAAAAATGCTTCACTTAATCAGACGGCAATTTTGGTGGCCATGGATGCGAGGTGACATCAACCAATATGTAAAAGGATGTCCCATATGTGCAGCAGCCAAACCATGGTCTGGAAAACCAATTGGGTTATTACAACCAGTGGCTGACCCCAGCCGACCATGGGAGGAGGTCGCTATGGATTTTATAGTAGACCTCCCTACCAGCAACAGTTACACTGTCATATGGACGGTAGTGGACTTATTTTCAAAGCAAGCCCATTTTGTACCTTGTCGTGGTTTGCCCTCTGCCTGACGGTTGACAGAGCTGTTCATTCATCACGTATATCGGTTGCACGGGGTCCCCAAATGAATTATATTGGATCGGGGTGTTCAGTTCACTGCAAAGTTTTGGAAATCTTTCATACATAGGATAGGATCCACCCAGGGGTTGAGTTCAGCATTTCACCCTAGCACCAACGGAGCTGCGGAACATACTAACGCCGCTGTAGAACGCTATCTCCATTGCTATGTGTCATACCAACAAACCGATTGGTCCGATCTTATCCCTTTTGCAGAGATTGCGTACAACAACATCACCCACCATAGTACAGGGCTTTCCCCCTTCCAGATAGTCTATGGTAGAGAGTTCCCAGCCATACCAGAAGTAGAACCTCCCTCGACGAATATAGATACGCCATCTGGATGGGCAGACAAAATCCACCAAATCTGGCCAGGTGTTAAGTCCGCTTTACAAAAAGCGGCGGAGGAATATAAGGCATATGTGGATAAGAAAAGAGCAGACCCAAAACCATTTGCAGTGGGGGACCAAGTTTATCTATCGACCAAATATTTAAAGTTACGAATCCCAAGCAGGAAACTAGGTCCGAAATATATCAGCCCATTTCCTATAACGCGCGTTATCAACCCTGTTACTGTAGTACTTAAATTACCCTCGCTACTAGGTAAGATACACCCGGTCTTCCATAGTAGCTTATTAAAACCTGATACTGTGGATAGGAATACTGGTTCAGCCGGACCACCAGGACCGGTCCATACAGATCAGTATGAAATAGATAAGGTCTTAGATTCCAAACTCCATAGGGGCTGACTACACTACCTGGTGCACTGGAAAGGTTATTCTTCAGCACAGGCCTCCTGGGTGGCAGCACCTGATGTTCATGCCACCCGTTTAATTAACCGATTTCACCGCAAGTATCCAGATAGGCCAGGACCATCAGGAACGGTATCCGCTGTGACTAACATGTCTGTTTTGCCTTCCTCAGGTGGACTCCTGGTAGAGGGGGAGCCGCCTGTCGAGTCCCAGCCGGATCTCGCCACTCACAGGACTGGAGGGGAGGAGGTTACCAGCTGTTTGAAAGGTCCACATGAAAGGCGGTTTGTCACACGGTCTCGAGGCATCACAGCACAGCACAGAGGATGGCGTGGAGCAGAGATCGAGGGCATGGCGCTCTCCTATAACAACAGGGAAGCGCCGGATTTTTCACCGCCGAATTGCTGTTGGGAGGGGTTTTGCCTTTAACTGCCGGATGGTGGTTAGAGCGGGGAAATATGTATAAATAGCATCACACAGTAGCTGTGTGTAGCACTGACTTTACACTTATGATCCGGCTTGTTCTTTTCTGCTGGCTGTGTTGCTGAAACGACCAAAAGTAAAAAGCATTGCAAATCGCTCTTTCGTCTGGTTCTTTTGTTGCAATCCCGGCTGACTGGGTGACGAGCCGAGACCCAGCATAATCATTTTATTTTTGCTGTTAATCCCAGCATAATCATCTTAATTTTACTGTTAATCCCAGCATAATCGTCTTTTTGTTGTTACCATCCATCTATACATTACTTATTCCCAGTTAATCATATTATCATTATCTTTGTTATGACAATTTAGCATTGAGACATAGTTCTTACCCCTTCACCAGATAAACAGAAATACACACATTTTATAAATAGTCCAGTTCCAAACAAGAAACCTTTCGGCAGCTTTAAGCGTTGTTCAAGTGACTAGCCAGAGTTAGTTTTTGTTCATCACAGAGTCTTAAATGGCCACCACACTCTCTTATATAGTCTCTGGGGTGTGGTCCAGTGACTCAGTTATAATCCCTGGCACGCCTCCTTAACTGCTGCAACCGTTTATCACGCCTTCGTTGACGTGGATCCAGGAATGACAGATCACCTCCCTCGCTCTCATCGGAGACACCTGGCTCCTGACTAATCTCCTCTTCCTCGGCCGGCACTTGAGGCAGTGCCAGAGGGGAGGGGCCTGGAGAGGGAGGCCTGGCCAACTCCTCTTCTTCATGTTCGGAGCCTTCTTCCTCTGATGAGGGCGGGGCCACAACATTAGTCATGCAAGTATCCATTTTGTTTCAATTATATAACAGTTCAACAGTCCACTCTTCTTCTTTTAATTTTAAAAATATCAAATCTTCTTCTTTTTTAAGGTCCAGCTCAAATTTTAAAACTCTGTCCAGTCTTTTCACCATGTCTCAAAATTTAGTTTTTTCAATTCAAAAATCAGTTGTTTATCGGGTCTTTGTCTCTTTAAAGTTACATTTTAAACTTTCCATTGCCCCTTTGATTGTACAGCCGCTGTTTTATGGCTAGGGGCCTTATGATTAAAAATAGTGCTTCGTGGCAGCCGCCATGGCTGCTGCCCCCCGCAGACTCACAGAGGGTTCCCTCTAGCCTCCGAGGAACTTGCCTGTTCCTCTTGATCGTCCAAGGTGCCCCTCTTTCTTCCCCATCCTTATAGACGGTTCCAGTCCGAAGACCCATCGGCAGCGGTTTGGCAGCCGGGTTTTCTTCAGAGCCCGCTATTTCCCCGACTGTCTTGCCAGACGCCAAACCGGAAGTCTCGACTATATGCATTTTGTTGGCTGGGTGATGTCTCTGCTTTTTAGTATGCTGTCTAGATTTGCCATAGCTTTCCTCTGCAGGAGCAAGTGTCTTTTAATTTCTTGGCTGCAGTCCCCATCTGCGGTGATCTTGGAGCCCAGGAAAATAAAATCTGTCACTACCTCCATTTCTTCCCCTGTTCTGTCCCCGTCCCACACACGCACCCCCACAGATGGCCCGGAGTTAATAAGCCACACGACAAAATCTTTGAAGATAAAGCTGGCAGCAACCCAGTGGCTAGCTGCCAATTCAGACTTTACTCACACAAAACAAAGATTAGACTGCAAGCATGCCAATAAAGCAGGCAAAGTTTCAACAATACAAGGATTAGTCCAAATGCAGTCCAACAAGGCAGGCAGAAGTCCAGTAACGCAGAGATCATGGATTATTTCTAGTTTTTGCTCGTCACAAACTGAACCGGCCACCACACCCACATTTATACCCTGTGGGGTGTGGTCCAGTGACTCAGCTAATCTCTGGCACGCTTTCCCCTCTGCTGCGCACGCTTCTCCCTGCGCCACTGCCGAGGATCCAGCCAGCACTTATCTACTTCGTCGCTGTCCACCTGTGGCTGCGGGACATGCTTGGCTCTGGGCCTATCTCTTGGCCTTCAGTGTCCTCCAGAGGCATTGCCAGAGAGAAGGGTCCTGGAGAGGGAGGCCTTGCCAACTCCTCTCCCTCACTCTCAGAGTCTGCATCTGTCGATAGCCCAGGCTCAGGCAACGGAGCCACAACATCTCCATCTATTTGCCAGGAATTGAGAGGGCCAGATGCCATGATCTTAGTTTTCTTAATGTTGAATTTCAAGCCAACTTTTGCACTCTCCTTCACCCGCATCAAGATGCTCTTTAGTTCCTCTTCTCTTTCTGCCATTAGAGTGGTATCATCTGCATATCTGAGATTATTGATATTTCTCCCAGCAATCTTAATTCCAATTTTTGATTCATCTAGCCCCGCCTTTCTCATGATGTGCTCTGCATATAAGTTAAATAGGCAGGGCGACAGTATACAGCCTTGCCGGACTCCTTTCCCAATTTTGAACCAATCAGTGCTTCCGTGTCCAGTTCTCACTGTTGCTTCTTGCCCCGCATATAGGTTTCTCAAGAGACAAATAAGATGGTCTGGTACTCCCATCTTTTTGAGAACTTGCCACAATTTGCCATAATTTCTAAGATATCGTAATTTTAAGCTATTGATAGAATGCTTGAATCTGTGTCTCATAGTACACATCCTCTTTCTTACTTCCTTCAAATGACATTTCTTAAAATAATTTCCTTTCTTTTAGCTTGTCTTAAAACTGTTAAGAATCCTTCTTTTCCAATTGCCTGAATTCACACAACACACTGAAGCAGAAGTGCAAGCATCCCCCACCTCCCCACCATAATCTGTTAGATCAATATTCCACCTTTTCTCCAGGAAGTAAAAGACTTTTCATAAGGATCTTCTTTGTTTTATTCCCACCAAAAAAAAAAAAAAAAACTTGTGAGAAAGCTTGGACTGGGATTGTGTGAACAGCAAAAAATTGCTCCATACATCAGGATGGATTTGACCTCAGGTCTTCTCAGTTATGCTACATTGTTATGTTCAAGTGTATTATGGTCATACTTTCCAACAACTTGACCTCTACACACACTGTCTCTGTGTAGGCACATCCCTAAAAATTCTCTAAATTTCTACCCAAATTGTCACTCTTTCTAATGAAAAGAAAAAAGTATGATGGAAAATAGTATGTTTAATTTTAATTACATTGGAATTGAGCCAAATCAAGTTTCCTGTTTTCACACCTTACTTTTTGGAGTATCCCTTCCAGACTCAACAATGGACATGTGCAACCATTAGTTCCGAATGCTATAAATGTCTGCGCTAAATCATATTTATGGCAGGACTCAGCCAATATTTTAACTCAAACAAGTCACAAGATGGTTTAGGATGTTATGTGAGCCCAGCTTGCTTTGTACAATAATTTTCTTTCACCTGGTAAAGAAGATAAGGGAACCGAGATTCTTGTTAAAAATGACTTACCCAAGAAAAGGCAATGCAGGTATGGTACATAGGAGAAGAACGGGGAACAGTGGCTTTATATCTGTTCAGCATCACCAAATTGGCAAGACCATTAAGGAAAGAAGCAAAGGCAGAAGCAGGCTCCTGAAAAAACAGGAAACGAGAAAAGGGCCACTACGGGCAAGGCAGGGAGGGGAAAGAGGAGATGATAAAGAATGTTATCAAATGGAAATGAAATTATCTGCACATTTTCCTATGATTGTTTAAACCAAATCCTAAAGTAGGTGGTTCAGATTTTTTTCCAAATGCCCCAGAAATAACTGAGATCTTCTGCCCTTTTTTTTTTTTTTTTGAGAAAGGACTACTTCCTTTGAAATTGCACGGCTAATTTCTGAAATACCATATTTTTCAGGATATAAGACGCACCTTTTCCCCCCTAAAAGGGGGTGAAAATTTAGGTGCGTCTTATACACCAAATGTAGCCCTGCCCACCCATTGGCCCGCACCCTTTGGCCTGTGCCTCGCAGCAGTTACCTCCTTGCAAGCAAACAGCACGAAAAAAACTGCTTCTTTCAGCTTCAGCATAGACTAATTAGCACACGTTGATTAGATCCGCCTCCCGACTCTCAGCTGATTTGCTCTCAGCTGTTTTGCGCAGGCCTCTGCTGCTTGCTTCAAGGAAGAAAATTACTGGAGCAGATTTTTTTTCCCCTTGTGCTAATCAAGCTATGCTGAAAACAAAACTGAAAGTAAAGCAGGCTATTTGCTGTTTGATGCAACGAGGCAAAATTAGGCAGAGGCAGAGGGAGATTACTTTTTCTTCTTTTTCCTCACCAAAAAAGGTAGGTGCAAACAATGGGAAATTTAGGGCAAAAGAGGAGAGTTCAAGATTTTAAACACGAAAGGAAAAAAGGAGAAAGAAAAAGGCAAAAATAAAAATGGGAAGGGAGAAAAAGAAATGAAAGAGAAAAATGTTATACATATTTAGAATTGAAATATGAATAGTAGTAAGAAATAAATGGGAAATCATGATTGTAAAAATGAAATGAATAATAATTGGAATATTTGTCTTTGTATTTTTGAAATCTAGACAATGATAAGTTTTTATTTTTTTATTTTATTTAAGTATAAACTGTAACAATTGAAATACCTTTAATGGTATATGGTGGTGAAAGTAAAATGGATTAAATTATAGCTTGGATAACAGCTAGAACATTTTTAAATTTAATTAGGGAAATTGTAATGATTGAAATTTTTTAAAATATATATTGTGATGAAAGTAGAAATGATTAAGTTGTGATTTGGAGGATTATATGGGCAAAACTATGTGGGTTATTGGGAGAGTTTAAGATGTGAAAATGAGTAATTATTTGGGAGAATTATTTAGTTTATTATTATTGGTAAATATAATTAATTGATTTGTAAGAAATTGGATTGCATGGAAATAATTGGAATATTCATATTCATATTAATATACAAAAAAGATGGTTATATAACTAATTGATTTATATTAAAATGTTGAATTTGTATTAAACAATTGTAATATTACATAATTAACCAATGTGGGGATAGATATAAAAATAGATGACAATGGGAAGGGGTATAATATAGAATAGAAGGGAAAAATTGAATTTGATTATGATAAGTCAAATGAATTTGATTATTATCAGTCAAAGCTGACTTTGTATAAATATACAAAAGTATGAAGGCTATTGCTTAATGCACTGTAAGCCGCCCTGAGTCTCCAGAGAAGGGCGGCATATAAATCAAATAAAACAAAAAAAATTAGAGATGAGGATGAAGGGTAATATTGTTTTTTTTAAAAAAAAATAGATGAGGAATAAATATGGCAAAAAGGAAATATAGAAATTGTAAATTTAATTGAAATGACTAAACACTGTTTAAATTTGTGAACCAGCCAAATACTCTGTTTAAAGAAAATACATTGTATGTTTGTATGTGTGTTTGTCAAAAAAATTTAAAAAACTTTTTTTTAAAAAAACACCCAAAAAAGGTAGGTGCATTTTATACTCTGGTGCGTCTTATACTCCGAAAAATACAGTAAGTAAATTCTTGGGCCTTAGGTATGCGTGCTGACTTCAAGGGGAGTGAGCTATGTTTGTCTCTTGCTCACCTATTACATTCCCAATACAGAGCAATCTAATTGGATAAACTACAGTCATAGAAGCTTCCCTTGAAATGCAGTTTCAGGCAGTGATTTGGGAAGAGAAAAAAATTCTCATTCTTGACCCCAATGATTTCAAGATTGCTGAAGCTTTCTTTAGGCTGCCATGTATTCTGTGCACATTGTGATTGCCAAGAAATAGTTGCAATTAGCTCATCAGTTTATCCTTTTTTCTCCTGCTTAGAGGCTGGAAATACGTAAAGGGCTGATACAGACTACAGAAAAAATTGGCAGAGTCTCGCCTTTTTGCTTGCTCTAGTTTTTCTTACTAGTGTACTAAAAAGGAAATATTTCCCTGCTGTCTGGCATATACAGATTTTGCTTGCTCAAAACCTCAGAGTGAAGGCCTGGATCTCACATAATATAACTAGTAAATGATCTACAGAAAAAAAGCCAGCCCAAGCAGATAAACTGAGTTAAAATGGTCAAAGAGCTGAATCAACCTGTACAGGTTAGCCAACCTGGCTTCATAAATGAGGCTTACCTTTCCATGAAACTGAGGCACTTTGGATCCCTCCTGGAGGTAAAGTCCCACAGTCAGCCACATACATTCATATTTGCAATCATCTCTGCAGGTCCACCCTAGAATATAAGAGAGTAAACCTGGTAAAATTAGAGTAAGTGATACATTTGGATAACACTTGATAGCAGTGTATTACTGCAATAATTCTAAAGTAATGAGATGAAGATATCAGATTTGCAAAGCATATTTTATTTCAGGGGTCTTCAACCTTGGTAACTTTAAGACTTGTGGACTTCAACTCCCAGAATTCCTCAGCCAGCTTTGTTGGTTGAGGAATTCTGGGAGTTGAAGTCCACAAATTTTAAAGTTGCCAAGGTTGAAGACCCCTGTTTTATTTCATTAAAAACAATTATTTTTAAGGTGTGGTGACTTGTCATGTTCTGATTTTATATTGTTCTTGCCAGGTTTCTGTGGCTGAAACTAACATGCCTCATGTTCGTTGCTTTTATTTTTAAGTTTCCACCACACTTATTGTCAAACGTGTAAGCCCAGAATGAGTTTACGCTTTTGACAATAATGGAAACTAAAATCCAAACACCATTTTAGAATCATGATCTGACATCCAGTATGGATTTCTTAGAAATAAATGCTTATTCAAAAAAATTGAGACTAGTGGATATCTAATATTTGGGAAAAGACAATATTTTATTGATCGATTAGTGTCATAACTAATAAAAAACATAAAACAAAAATAAATATAGGATAAAAGTCGAAGGTAAAATATGAAACGAACAGTAATAAAATACCTGTGTGTTAAATACAAAAAATCAACATTCAGGTAAATACATCGCCTTTACAAGCTCAATCTGTTTGCAATAACTGGTCTTTTGGTCAACTGCCTTGGCTATAAACTTAGAAGTTTGGCTCATGATGTATAGATTAGAACCCAGGAAGAACTAGGACAATCTGCGATTCAGATCCCAATGGGCTCTTCCTTCAAATACGGATGTTAAGTATCTAAGCCTAAGAGTGGCATAAAGTTGACCATCAAACAAAACATGAAAATATCTTCAATGTCTGGGACACCACATATACATGTCCTCTCATGTTATGGCAGGTGGTGGAAGTGCCCATATTGGGCCATGAAATCCAACAACTCAAATCTGGCTCAAGTATAGGCCTTTCTTGAGAACTGGGTTAAACTCACTGACAGGTATTTTTCAAACTGAAAAATAGTTTTGTTCTTAGCCAACCAACTTAAAGATCTACCGGTATTTGTGGCTAATAACTCCCTATCATTTTGAGTGCTGACATCTAGGACTCTGTTTAAAAAATTCCCTTGCTTGGGAGGCAGTTGAGAGTAAAGGAAAAGGGGGAAAATAAAGGTTTGTGAAAAAATACTTGTATTTTGAACTTGTATTTTGGACTTTAATGGTTTTTGGTGTGTGAACAACAGCACCGGGAAATAAAACAACCAATTTGGATGCCAAGGTTCAGATCACAAAATGGTTGCAAAGAGTTAGGTAGATTTTTGTGGTCCGTGTTTGGCAAACACTGTCCAGGCATTCAGAGCAGGGTGCTATCAATCATTCATTGGCATCCTTCAGTCTCAAGAGACTATGGTATCGTGCTCTGGAAAGAGGTCCTAAAACAGGATCTAGTGTGACTAAAAAAGCCAATTCGAGAGTGGCAATCCTTTCCACACTGAGGGCAGATACATTCTGTCCCCTGCCCAGACCCCAGATTTCGCTGGTTCCGGGATTGCCTCTTTGCCTCAGCCTGCTGAACAAGTGTCTCTTCGAACTGGAGAAGGCCATGCTGCGTCTTTAGCCTCCAAGCTGAACAATCGGAGGTGAAGGTTTCCCAGTTGTTAATGTTCATTCCCAGGGCCTTTAGGTCCCTATTGCAGATATCCTTATATCGCAGCTGTGGTCTCCCTCTGAGGTGCTTTCCCTGCACTAATTCTCCATACAGGAGATCTTTCAGAATCTGACCATCAGCCATTCTCACGATATGCCCCAGCCAGCGTAGACGTCACTGTTTCAATAGTGTATACATGCTAGAAATTCCAGCACATTCCAAGACTGCGCTACTTGGAACTTTGTCCTGCCAGGTGATGCCAAGAATTCGTCGGAGACAGCGCATATGAAAGGTGTTCAACTTTCTCTCCTGTCATGCGTACAGGGTCCAAGACTCACTGCAGTACAAGAGTGTGCTCAGGACGCAGGCTTTATAGACCTGGATCTTTGCTTCTTATTAAGCCATACTCTCTTTGTAAGTCTGGAAAATGTGGTGGTGGACGCTTTACCAACACGTTTATTCAGCTCAGTATCTAAAGAGAGAGTGTCAGAGATAGTTGAGCCGAGGTACACAAAGTCATGGACGACCTCCAGTTCTTGTGCAGAGATTGTAATACAGGGAGGTGAATCCATGTCCTGATGACTTGTGTTTTTTTCAGGCTGATCGTTAGTCCAAAGTCTTGGCAGGCCTTGTTAAAACTGTCCATAAGTTGTTGAAGGTCTTCAGCAGAATGAGCAGTGATGGCAGCATCATCAGCAAAGAGGAAATCCCTTAAGCATTTCCCTCCTTGCTTGGGAGGCAGTTGAGAGTAAAGGAAAAGTGGGGGAAATAAAGGCTTGTGAAAAAATACTTGTAGTTTGTACTCCTTGGACTTTAATGCTTTTTGGTGTGCACTGGGAAATAAAACAACCAATCTGGATGCCAAGGTTCAGATCACCACAAAATGGTCGCAAAGAGTTAGGTAGATTTTTGTGGTCCATGTTTGGCAAACACTATCCAGGCATTTAGAGCAGGGTACTATCAGTATGCTGATTACATCCAAGTCTATTTCTCATTAACATCACGAAATAAATTGGGATTCCAGATGTTTTCCTGAAGTCAGTAATAAACTAGATGGGGAACAACACATTGAAAGTGAATCTAGACCAGATGAAGAAGTTCTTTGTGAGGATCACAATTTGAGAAGTGGTAGTTCTCCTTGTCCTGAATAGGATTCCATTTTCCCAAAAGGAGCAGATACAGTTGGGGAATATTTGGGCATCTGGGCCTCTCTTTAGCTTCAGGCAACAACCAGGGACAACTTTTATATTACTGTAACATTTACGACTTTCTCTGATATGCCTACTGCATTCCTTCTTGGAAGAAAATGATTTTGAAATAGTGGTGCATATCCTGGTAATTGCCAACATTACTCTTATAACGGGTTGTATACATGGAGCTGCCTTTGTGCCAAGCCTAAAAACTTCAATCAGTACAAAACTCAACAGGAAGATCTCAAAGAGCATTGCAGCAATGCTGAAAGCAAGTATGTCTCAGGATGAAATACAATGATCTGTAGATCTTTTAAAGGTCTACTTAAGGGACCCCATCTTTCTTTATAAAGCATACACACAAGACACAGTGATGATCTGAGGAGGCTCATCTACAGTTGCTATTGGTTTGTTTCTCAGCAACTCGGGATCAAGACTTTATGTAGGTGCCACAATTTTTTAGAAGACATCTTTTTTCTTTTTGGAAGAAGGTTTTGAACTACCACACCAAAAATGGACAACTTGACTATAAGTATAAATGAGGTAGAGGATACTCCCCTCAGTGTGAATGAGGGGTCCTACATCAAGCTGTAGATAACATAGTGACCGGCTGTAAATAGAGGGCATATACTGGTCCAATTTTTTCTCTCACATAAATGATATATTCCAATGATTAAGTGGTCTAGATATTGGTGTCTGAATATAGATTTTTTTTAACATTCAAATTTTACTATGTTGTTAATCTAGGTGAAATGTTAATATATATTGCAAAGTCCATGTATGAAATGCCATATGCTAAACAAATAAAACAAAATAAATCAAACCTCAAAAGTGTGTCTAATGCATATGGTATGTCCACGAAACTCATATTTGGATATGTATCCTCTCCAAGTAGCTAATGTATATCTCCTATATACTTGTCACCTCCTATTTTAATTAATGACCTTATTTCACTTGTTTCTCTTTGCAAGAAAACCGAAATACCCGGTTTCTCAGCCAATGCATTCATGATGATGGGATATGAACACGCAGTCAAAGTGCCAGGGATTTGGAAGGCCAATCAGATTTTGCTGCCATATTCAAAAATGTCTTCTGGGGAAATTGTTTGCTTTTTTTCAAGCTAGTAGATTACAGATAGTCCTTGATTTACGACCACAATTGAGCTAAAATTTCTTACGACCTTTCTTGCCACAGTTGTTAAGTGAATCACTGCAGCTGTTAAGTTAGTTACATAGTTGTTAAGTGAATCTGGAATTGACATCAATGTACCTGAGGTGACTAATTCTTCAAGTAATTTTAATTCAGATTCTATTTGTTCTTATCAAACATTACTCACAATATATTCTGCATATATGAAACAAATAAGGCAACAGAATATAGTGATGGCACATACGATTCCTAATTTTGAAGCATTTAATTGCTCCATATTCCATGGTAACAGATGGACTGCCACATCAATGTTTTTTAAGGGTTGTCCACAATTCTTTGTGGTCTACACAGGCCCAATTCAGCTTATCTTTGCAGCCCTGAAAATCTAGTCAGCTGTCGCCATTGTTGGCATCCCATACAAATTGGTCAATCATATTTTTACCAACCATTGTGAATTTAACATAGTTTTCTTGATTGCCTTCAACCAACTTGAAAGTTGTAAACTATTCAACCACCTAAAAATGTATTCACTTCCTTTCTTTGAAATTTCACTATTTATTCTTCCAGGCAAGGGAATAAGAGAGAGAAAGATGTGCAAGAGCTCTCCCATGCATACATTATCACAGTTTGCGGACCTAAGTGGATAGATGTTACACCAGAATACATAGTGGTTTCATTTGAACAATTAACTTGCCCCCAATTAACTGAATCACAGCCGAATGGCACAGTGCAGGAAATCCACTGATCCACCCTACCTGGTTATTATAAAATAACCAGGTAGGGTGGTTTCCTACAACAAACACCAGGTTAAATATGATAGCCTGATTCCTGGCTCGGTGCATCCCATGAATACTGGCTACTTCTAGGGATGGTTCCTGCCAATGGGAGAACAGTCAGATAACACTCTCCTCTAACGTTATTACTATGGCGACCCAAGGAAGAAGTGACGGCGGGAAAGCATCCAAACTGTCTTGGCGACATCACAACCTGCCTCCCAAGCACTGGGCGGGACCCTTCCTGATGGGCGGGGCTATGCAAAACAGGCATTCCGAAACACCCCGCGTTTGATCCCCGGTGTGGGCGTGGCCCTGCTTCAGCGTAGGTTAATCTCCGCGGGGCCGTTCCGTACCTGTGAGGCTCATGTAGAGCGGCTGGCGGGAGCGGAAGTGCCGCAGCCCGGCCTCAGAGCAATTGCGCCTCTCGCAGTGAGCCACGCAATCACGGTAGACGGGCTCTCGGTCCCCCCGCGAGCCTTGGGAGGGCACTGGACCCACTCCCGCCGCTCCCAGGAGAAAGAGCAGCGCGGTCCGGGCTGCCATCCCGCCTCCGGGGAGCTCCGAAGCTCCACTTCTGGGTTGCGTCGAAAATAATCGTTATCTTCGCAAGCGAGGGAAACCACAAAGTTGTGGAAACCCGAGCTGCATCCTCAAAGTTTCCGTGAGGGCAAAGGGTTGTGGGTAATGTAGTTTTCCTTTCATCCGCTCATTTAACGAAGCCATATAAGAAAATGCTGAAAAAGGCGCTCGCCTTTAAAAGCTACAACTTTCGCGGAGGAGACTTTCGTGAAGACTTATCTGTGGCTTATCCTTGGTTTTTTTTTTTCAAAGCAAAGGGGTTTATGAAGCAGCACAGTGTGGCTAAACAAATAAAAATGTATTTTTTTAAAAAAAAAGTTTCTAGTTTCTAGAAAAAGTTTCTCCCACCTAATTTATCATTTCAGCAATAATGCAGAGAAAATAATAACAACTTTATTGTCATTGTACCTATATACACAGTATACCCATACAACGAAATTCACTTAACACCCAAAGACCAGGTCCAACACACATAACAATCCCCAAACACACTCCCACCCACACAATTCCCCACCCCTAAACTACCCAAACATCCACACAACAGACTAAGTAGTGCTGTCCGGCAGCTCACTGATGGTGGCCCTTTAGTTCATTGTTGAGTGCAATTATAGCTCTGGGATAAAAACTATTCAGAAAACGTGTGGTCTGAGTTTTAATTGTTCTGTATCTTCTGCCAGAAGGCAACAGTCCAAAAAGATTGTAAGCAGGATGGGAAGAGTCTCTGAGAATGTTATGCAACTTTCTCAAACAACGAGATTCGAAGATATCGTCCAGGGCTAGTAGCTGGAGTCCGATGATATTCTGGGCAGTTTTAATGATTCTCTGTAGTTTTTTTTTTTGTCTGCTACAGAGCTGCTCCCATACAATGCAAGAATGCCGTATGTCAGGACACTCTTAATGGTGCTGCAATAATAGGACAGAAGTAGATGCTGTGATAGATTTATCTTCCTGAACATTCTCAGGAAGTACAGCCTCTTCTGTGCCTTCTTCACAAGCATGTTAACATTCATAGTCCATGAGATAAATGGGTGGGAGGAAAATTCTGATTTTCACTGATTTAGTGAAAACATTTTGAGATCCTTAGTTTGAATCAGGCAGATGTAGGTGTTAATTAAGAAAGAGTTGCATATGTAGCAGGGTGCCCTGTAGAAACCTGTCATTTCAGATGTTGCTGAAGCACCTATTGATAACTGATTGGAACTTAGATATGCGTGTTATCTCACTCATCTAAAGAACAAATATTACTGCTAGTTATCTAACATTTTAATTAATGCAATTACAGGGGTACACTATAGACATAATTGTGCTAGTTTTAAAATGTATCCCCAATTCCATTTGCAAAATATTGTAAAACAGGCATGCTTCTTTGCCTTCAATATTTGTATGATAAATAAATAGAAGTGCAAGAGATGCATTTCCCACCAGTACTACAGTTGTTGCACTTCTGTCTACCATGAAGCCATGTAGGAATCCTACGAATATTTTTATTAAAAGGATAAAACTATTAAATTCACCAGCTCCAGTTCCCCTCTTTAGTTTCCAAAACAGCCTTTCTGAATCTGTTCCCCACTTAATGAAGTAATCAACTTCTTGCTCTATAGGTAAGATAGTTAAGGAGAACTAGGTAGTAAAAAAAAAATGCATCTGAGAATTCTAGGTAAATTTAAAGATTAGAGGTCCCTGATATATGTCTGAGCTGGTACTACCAGTAGCACTACAGGCCTGGCAAATTATGAGGGGAATAGTTTAGCACTTCACAATAGTAGGAAAAGTACCTGCCAATCACAACTTTATTGCAGAAATAAACAAATTTAGCTGTAGCACGTTGGCTATCATGGCCTGATTACTTGAAGGATCTTTTATTTCCCATAGTATCTGTCCAACCACTTAGATCTCCAACCTTTCCAGGTTTGTGAACTGGCGGTGGGGGTGAGAAGGGGTGGTTTTGTACGAGTGGCGGGTGAGCATGCGTGCCCCCTGCTATGTGCACAAGTGAAACTGCAGGTGTGCGCATGCTCACCAGTGGTGGCTTGCTCCTGGTTCTGTCATGTTCTTGCGAACCAGTAGTAAAAGTGGTGGGAGGCTCCGCCCACCCGCCCGGACGTCATAATGGATGGTCTGCGCATGTGCAGAAGGGTGCATATGTGCGTGCTCCCGTTGCGAACCGGTAGTAAAGGTAAGTAGAATCCACCCCTGATGCTCACCCAGCATTTCTGCAGCCCGGTTCTGAACAGGCTGCGGCCCGGTAGTGGGCCGCAACCCAGGGTTTGGAGACCCCTGATTTAGATCTTACAAGGTTAGCAGGTGCCAAATTCCTTTGATTAAATAATGTAATCTATTGGTACCCCAGAGGCACTTCCTTAAGGTCCTAAAAAGGGGAAAACTCACTTAACAACCATCTTGCTTAGAAATGGAAAATTTGGGCTTAAAAACTTCCTGTATATTTTCTTAAAAGGATTTGATTCTCTTATTGGCGGAAGTTAGCGGCCATGTCCTAAGGTATGATTTGGAATTCTTGAACAAAGCTGTTGGAAACATTCAGGTATCCACACAGCATAATTAAAAAAATATCAAGATAGCAGCAATGATATGACTGAAGCTCTAGCTGTTTTTATATTGTATGTATTGTGTGCAATACCCATAGAAAGCAGGTACAGCTTTGATTGTACAGTTGTGGCTTCCATCCTGAGTTGTTGTTTTTTATCACAACTGGCAAAGATTATTTTATTTTCTGGTTTTGTACCTTTAAAGAAATGGTGCAAGCACGTTCCAACTTTTCAATAGTTTTATAGACATATTCTGTGCTTAATGATAAATGAGAAATTAATAGCCAGATACAAATTTGGCTAATTTCTGTTTAACCTAACATCTTACAGATTGTGTTTAATCTTGTTTTTCAATTTTTTCTGCATAACATATATATTAACTCTGGATATTATTAGCACACTTACATATTTGGTAATGTGTACTTTTTAGATGCTGATCTACAGAGGACGCAACTCACACATTTTATAAATAAATTCCATATAATAAACTCATATGTTTATTATAAATTGCATTAAATACTTTTAAATTTTGAAACTACTGTTGCTAATCTGCCTTGGATAGTCTTGTGTTTGATAACACTTCTCCTAGTTATGCTTTCCATACTATCTGGCATTTTGCAAATCTCTGCTTCTCCCATTTCCCAATATGTTGTTGAAGTATACCATCCATCTTTGGCTTTTTTAGCTTTTTTCCACAACTCCAGTGAAAAAATCTGCCTTCCTCTTGCTATTTTACAGCTCAAGCTTAGAGCTTCAGAGAATACCAGAACAATCTGATTGGAAAAAAAGTGTTCTGGAAGGAGACAAAGGCATACCATTTCTGTATTGCTGCCAAGAAACCATGGACATTGGTCATTAAGTCACCCTTGTTTTGTTCACTTTGAAGGAGACCTTATCTTTATGCCTGTCTGCCTCCACCTAGGGCTTTAATTGCTGTAGTCTATGCTCAGGTTGTGTGATAACCTTGTTGACGTGGCAGTGATATGAACTGATCCCTGTATACAAGCAAATTGATGTCTGTGGTAGCCAATTACGAGGCATTCTGTTAAAAAGATCCTTCTTCTCAAAATCCTTTCATTTCCAATGGTCAAATATTGATAGGAAACATTGTAACTGCTGTGCAATTTATTGATCTTTTAAGGCAGATTTCTTGTCGTTTTCGAGATAGTAAACTCTGATTCTGCAAACAGCTGCAGGGCGTGAAAAGTACAGTTAAAGGAAAAGTTAACACCACAAAAGAATTGCCCCGCCTTCATTTCACTGCCTGCAGGATTTGATAGAAGTCTTGAAAGAGCCCATTCTCTAGCAATCTCTCCTTGTTCCAAGAATTTCCTCCACAGGCTTCAGGCTCTCAAGCCAACAGCCCCCTCTTCCCCTCCTCCAAAGCCCTCTCCCACCGCCTGGCTCCTCCTGTCTGAAAGGGAACTATGGTGCAACAGAAGTCCTAATCATTGCAAGTGGCAGAAGATGTCAAAGACCCCAAGAAGGCACAGCAAACAATGTGGCCTGCTAAACTGTGTAAATTAGACATCAGTCATGACTTTCTGACAGTACCTGCAGTGGTCAGATTCTCTGGGAGATTCTTTTTAGAAGGCACTTTAAGGAGACCTTTAAAGATAAGAGGGAAATTGGAACAAAGATAACTTACACAATGGAGCACTCAGTTTGCAGGCTGGTCTGTAGCCTAGGAAAATAACTGGACTTTTAAAAAGATGTATTTGCAAAATGGGAAAAATAGCAAGTATCTTTAGATTAACAGTGGAAAGTTAGCTGTTTCAATACAATCAAAAATGAGGATTTAATAGTAATTTTATTAAAGATTATAATTACAATAGTAAAATCTAACAAAGTTGAAAAAGAAAAATGTTCAGAAAAGAGAGATAAAGAGAAAAACAAGAGTATAGCAAAATAGAAGAAAAGAAATATATAAAGAAATGACTTCCCCCTTCAGCTCAGCAACTATAAACGATTTTAGAAATTTATCCCCTCTTATAATACAACAAATGATTTTTGTTCCTATATCCCATCTCTTCTCTCTAAACAAATCTTTAAAGTTTTGTCATTTCAGTCCCAATGTCAGCAGTACTCCCATTAAGGGTCATGAGAGATAGCAACATATCTATTTTAAACTTGATCAAATAAACAATTTTATATTCCTTCTATTTCTAACCATTTTGATATTTAATCCTTTCAAATAATGTAGAGCTTGATTTCTTTTCATTTTTTCTTTGTCCCTTCTCATAAAATTCTTCAAAATTTTAACAAGCCTCTTTTGTCAATCCCCAAATTACAACTGGTTGCTTAGCAACCAAAGTTCTGAAGAACCTACTTGTGGGGTACTTATGACCTGGATTTGAAGTTCCACCCACAGTCACATGATCTCGCTTCAAGCCCTTGGCAGTTGGACCATGTTTACAGCCATTTGCAGCCTCTTGTCATCACATGACCCATTTATGGGGTACCAAGGAATGAATTTGTACATTGCTTTTGTGCTGCTAAGATGTCCATTGGCCAGG